AGTGTATGTCTGCTTGAATATATATTTACATACTTACACATAAAGTATACTTGCATGTATATATAATTCTGCTTCTAAAACGGTGATTCATGTTAAGGAGACGGATATTTCATGCACGATCCTGTCTTTTGAGCAGCACCATCCTCCATCCTAATAAAAATACTGCAGGAAGGCCTGAATGGAGTGAGCAGGGCTTTGATCCTGCAGCCAGTCAGTTGCTGCAGTTCCCTACATGTAGTGCTGGGATTCATGCTAGCAAAACGGATAGTAGTCTGCTGTTCTTAGCTTCTTGGAGACTGGAAGATTTTGTGTGTCTTTAATTTTAATATCTACAGAATACCTCTGCTTTTCTTCTAGTCCCTGAGCATAAAGGAGCCAATAGGCAATACTTGGAAAGTTGAAATAAATCCCAGGTTGTATATGCTCCACACAATCCCTGCGAGAGACCCCCAAAGTACAGTAACCCATCAGTGAACTTAGGGTGTAATTTAGCAGTGAAGGAGCTCAGTTAGCTTTCTCTATTTTTACTGATTTCAGAGAAGGTGATCATCATTTTTCAACTGTAGGTATTTAACAAGGGATCCCTTTAGTAAAACCTTGGTTTATGTCTGCTGAGACACACCTGAGCAAAAACAGCAACTGTGCGAAGTGTTCATGGTGTAAATTTTTGCTCCGTGGTGAATGCTTTAATCCTGTCACATTCTGGGTGTAAAATTGTGGTGGTATTACAGAGTTACTATAGTGTTCTTTTTGGCTGTTTATTGGATCTGGATGTATTCCTTGAGTAAGTTTACATTATTGTGTTATATATGGATGTTTGGTTCTTTTCTTTTGTTGCACTGTCTTTGTAAGTAACTTTGGGTTTCCTGGCTCTACGTAAGCAGTTTGTTTCTTTCTACCCCTTGCTGGCTGCATTGCAGTAGTAAATTGGTGTGCTGTTTCAAGAGCATCTCTCCTGTCAGTCTGATAAGATCGTACCACCAGGAAGGCATAACATTATAATCCTAAGCACAATGTGATCCTGTTCATTTTAGCTCTTTTACTTGTCAGAGGGACAAGAATGAAGGTTGTACATGGGTGGAAGGTGAGGGTAGAAGTGAAGATAGTCAGAGATAAAACACTTTGCTAAAAGAGAGAAATCCTATGCAGGGACATTTCAGTTTGTAATCAAGGTATTATCTAGAAATGAACTTTGAAAGCTGGCTGGGATGTCCTGAATAATACAGGATGTAAAGCTGACATAGAGAATACAAAAGTGTTAATATGGATTTCTGACAAGGGAAAAATATTACTTTCATTTTTTTCCTAGGTTTGGTGCCACTTTGAAAATATAGTCATACCAATACCATAGGCAAGAATAATAAAATTACTCTAGAAACAGAGCTGCAAGAAACAAGAGATTTCTGTTAATTCCAGACTTGCTACTTTTTAGCAGAAGAAAAGAGTACTTCCCAGAAAAAGCCTCTGAAGAGGCAAAATTTAAGGCATGCCTTAGGGTACGGGGACTGCAGCCCCTTAAAAGAATCCCAGCAATTACCTAACCTGCCAACTTTCCAACAAGATAAATGGAAGCACTGTAGCTTGAAGGTGCCTTGGTTTGAATGAGATGCAGTAAGTAAGGTCTCTCTGTTCTTTACAGGCATCATAGATCTGATAGTACTTATAAAAGAAGAATAGAGTTGGTGCCCTGCTGACTAAATTGTCCTCTAGAGGAGTATTAGTTACAGAGCTTCTTTGTTAACAAGGCTATCTGCTTAAGCCACTGTGAATTTCTCTTATTAGTAGGCTTTTTAATAGCTTTACATATGGATATGCTAAGTAAATGCAAGAATATCCACGTAATTTAGGTATATAATTGTGTATGTGTACGGTATTTTATATATAAATAAATGTTTGTGATGTGGAAATTGCACATGACTTCATTACTGTTCTGTTGAACCGAGGTAAAAGCAAGCATTAAAATACTGATAATAGGAGAACAGTAAGTCGACTTCTGCTCTTTCTGACCGGGTGCTTCACATAAAGTCTTTCTTCTCCTCTGTAATTTCCCAATTAGCTTTTGTGGATAACAGAGGTGTTTCTAAAGCCTTTGTATGCTGGAAGTTTCCCAGTTGCTTGCCTACTCAGGATTCCTACCTTAGAGGAGTAGTAAGGCCACAAAGCCTGTATTAACAGAAGAATACAGAGTAATGATCTGCAAACCACTCTGCACAGACGGGCTGATATTTCTCATTTTAGCCCACTGCAACACAAGGTAAAGGCTGCGTAGCACAGCCCAGGCATCTAGATAGGCTACAGCCTTTCATGCTGTCCTAACAGCAACCTCGTTATGAGCTTTCTTAATGGGTCCGATGAATGAATGCTACCGTAGCATCCTCAGCAGATGAGTTGGTGGCGAAGTTCCCCATTGCGGGGAGGAAATCACAGTGCTTATGCTAAGCGCCCATGGGGAACACAAGGCACCGCGGGTGCTCTGCGCCAGCCTGGCTGCTCCCACTGCATGTGCTGGGGGAGGGTGGTGTGGCCTCACTATTTAAATAGCTTTCCTCTTCCACTTTTGTGAACGAGTTGCATCAGGTTGATGAGGAAATCCCGGGAAGGCAGGCACTTGAGGAAACACCTGGGACTTCTCCATCACTCCATCCCCACGGGAGGCTGTAGAAGTCAGATGTGACCTCATGAGAGAAGTGAACTTCATTCCTGTCCCCAGGTTCTTCCCCACATGCAGGCTTAGCAAGCTGGGAAGATACTGTGGGGAGTGGTCAGGTTTTGCTTTGGTCTCTGAACAAGAGATAATTTCATCATGGGCAGTGCTAACTACTTCGTGGCTTTTCATTATTTTGACGTGTTTGCTTTTCAAGTACTTTGTGGCTTGCTGAAACAAATGAAAGCTTTAATCCACACACCCTTTAAAAATCTTTCTTACTCTAAGTGTAAACCCCTGTGTTTTCTGTATCTCCTCTCAGCTGGATGCCTATCTGTTTTTTTTACGCAGAATTTATATTCTTTTCGAATAGGCTCTTTTCTGCTACCTTCGGTTTTCAGGGGTTTATATATGCTTTTCAGCAGCATTTGTTTTATCAGCACTTCCTGCAGCATTTGTTGCACATCACAACAGCAGCGGTTTGATTCCGTTTAGAAGAATACCATATTATGTATGGAAAGCAGTAATTGCTTACCTGTTTGCCAAATACATTCTACTGTGAAAAATCTCCAGCATTACTCTATACACCATCAAGCAGGGTTATTTCTTCTTTACACTTTCTACAGTTAATAGTTTTGAAAAAGAAGATAGTTTATTGCCCATTTCACAATTAAATTTCCATTTGTGAGGACCTGGAACTTTACTCTGAGTGAATGCAGAGTCCACACAGACTGAAGTTTCAAACTTAATTGTTGCTTTTCATGTGCTTGTCAGAAAAAACAAAATTAACCTGTGGTGAGGGTTGTGCTTGAAGTAGTTGTGGAAATTCATTGGAAATCAGGTCTGCGAGGTGTCCTGCAGAGAGCTAAGCTGAGTGGATTGTATTACTACCTTTATGCAGGAGGAGGAATAACATGTAGTGTTCTAGGTGTTTTCTGATGAGTGTTACTGGTGTTTAAACTGTTAATCCTACTTTTTCCATGACTTGGAAGACTTTCTGTCTTAGGGGAGACTGGCTGTAAGCTTCCCTCATAACAGAAGTGGTCACCATCAGGCATGACTGTTACTCAGAACACACCGCTTTGCATTTTGTCCAATTTCTGTAGCTTCTATAAACAACTTTATTTTTTGTTATGAAAATTAAACAGCAGTAAGGCTTTGCTTCCTGAGCTCTTTGCTCAGGCAGAGCCCAGTTCTTTTTGTGCTACTTGGATGACAGGTATCGTTGTCTACAGTGCAGCCACTTGCATGAGCCAGACAGGTAAAGTCAGTACCAACCAAAGTAATACACCATGTCATCCCAGTTATTGGAAGCCTCAAAGGTCATTTAATGACCTCTTTATTATATGAGAGGTAGCTCTGTGCCTCTTGTTTGCACCTTAATTTGCTGAAAGAAGTAGCAATGTGCTCCTTAACTTGTGCACAACTATCTTTGTGATTTTTCTGTGATTGCTTAGGAATTTCCCTGAAGGTTAAGGATCACACACTTGCTTTGTCACAATGTTCTCAGTTTTTCATGTCTGATTTTACAATGATTTAAAAAAACAAAGTACTCCCTCAGATCCAAAGACCAGTATAACTCCTGTGTTACAGCTTTAGGGAGTATGCCCAGCAATTTGTACTTAGAATTCAGAGGTGCTTGGACCTATGAAGGAAGTTTCTCAGGGAAAATGCAGCAGTTAGGAATTTAAATGGAGCAACTGTTTAGCAGTGTGTTCAAATGAAATGGAAGAGAAACTGTAAGTTGTGTACTGGTGCTTGATGGGACTAGAGAAGAGGCCTTCCTTGCTTGGAAGGGGCCAGCGGATCCTGAGCTGCTGCTGCTGAGGGCTGTGCCTCTTGTGTCAGTTCTGCAAAGTGAAAGGGCTGCATGTGAGGATTAGAAGAGCTGCATATTTTACACCCTTCTCTCATTTTGGTGATGGTTTAAAGAGTGAAGTATATAAGCTGTTAACGGTAGCAAACCCCAAAATGAAATACGGCGTGAAAGTGAAACTGATGTATCATTTTCATTAGTTTTAGTATTGTCAGGCAGAATTTGTGGGATTAATTTTGAAAGCTTAATCCAGATGGAAAAGGTTAAATTCAATGTTGAGCGAATTTGGTTCCAATTCATTTGTTGCCCTTGCTTGTTCTTTTCTTGAAAGAATTAGAGACTAATTGGAGAACTGTACATACAATCCTCATTTTCTGCCATCATTTAACTACATGAACCAACATTAAATGACAACCTCTCAGTTATCTGCTGCAATAACTAAACAAACAGACCTAGTCGCCATGCCAGCTCTTGGGTCCTGTGGCCTGAGTATTGTATTAGTTCATACGAGGACTTACGTTCTTCTTCCTTTTTCCTCAGGATTTATCTGGATCCATTGATGACTTGCCGACTGGAACCGAAGCAACCCTGAGCTCAGCTGTTAGCGCGTCAGGCTCTACAAGCAGCCAAGGGGAGCAGAGCAACCCTGCACAGTCTCCGTTCTCCCCTCATGCTTCTCCACATCTCTCTGGCATCCCCGGGGGCCCATCGCCTTCCCCTGTAGGCTCACCTGTTGGAAGCAACCAGTCGAGATCTGGTCCCATTTCTCCAGCAAGTATTCCAGGTAAGTTTGTTCCAACAAACAAAATGAAACTGATAGACTAGTTTATTAAATAAATAAATACTCCTGTAATCTGAATTCGTTTATTTCTGAGAATCCTGCATTTTCAGAGCCTTTTTCGGGGGGGGAAGAAAGCATACTTAGAGTTAAATTCCATCTGAACTTCAGCTGCCAAACCCTCAGAGTGCTCAAAGTTCTGAGCTTGACTCCACATATGTGTTTGATAAACGTCTTTATCATCAACCAATGCAAATAATCATAATTTTTGTATGTGGTTTATGTGTCATATATCTGTCACATTTTTCTCTTTATTATTTACATAGTCCCTTTTTTGGTTTTATTGTGTATTTCTGTTGGGTTTGGCTCTTTGACTTGTATGGTGGTTTCAGACCCAGAAGATGAGGCAGAGATTTTCTACACCCTGTATTGTAATAATGTGATTTTGGACATGAATGGAGAATATTGTATAAGGTATTTCTTAATACTGCAAAGGTCACGAGTTACTAGGAATCCAGCCCCATCGGTAATAATTGAAATGCCAGTGGCATGCTTGCCACTCTCCTCTTGTGCCACATCGACACACACTCATTCATGCACATTCAGAAAATTAAGGAAATCTCTTAAGATACCCAGAAGAGAAAACAGGCATTCATTTACTCCAGTTCTTACCTTGTCCCCACCCATCTGACATGTTACTTGCAGGTGGTCAGGCAGCAATGTGCGCTTGGTATTTCAGAGGAGTTTTTTCTCTTTCTGATGCCCAAGTTTTGATTATTTTCTGACATTTTGAATACTAGGGGAATTCCTAAGAGCAGGAGAACGCTGACATTACCCTAGGGAGATAACATCACTTGCTGACAAAACCACAAAAAATCAACATGGAGCTCAGTTAAAAGAAACAAAAGCAATGATGCCTTTTCATTAGATGTGCTGTAAACCAAATGCAGGTTAAAATTCAGTGAGTAGTGTGTGTTTTGGTATTCAGAACAAAAGTATCTGTGTGAAGTGTAGGTGCCTGTTTGTATACAGAGGTTAAACTAGATAAGCAAAGGGGGGTAAGCTCAGTGCACGCAGGAATGTTGCATACTAAATGTGGCCTGAGCATGTTGAGCCCTGATGCTTCATGTGTGCCCTGCAGTTACTTCTTCCCTTTACAGCTACTCTGACTGGCAGTATGTGCTCAGGTGGGTCAGGAATAGCAGGGACAGCAGCAGGACTGGAATATTTGCATTATGTGCAGTATGGTAATTTTGTGTTTGCAGCATATTTCCCAGTACATGGTGCAGAAGCCTGTCCCTGTTGTTGACAGAAGCCAGATAGTCCCATCTAGTTGGAAAGGTAATATTTTCCCACAGTCAGATTCAGGCAAGTAAATGGATTGGCATTTTAACAGCCTGATTGCTGAATAGGGAAAGAAAGTTAGGACATTGAAAATAGCTTTATTGTAGCCATGATAGATAAGGATAAGAACAGGACAGAGTGTAGGGGAAAGTAATAACTTTTATGAAACCAGCTGATCCTTGTGAGGTAAGAATAAAAGGGGAGTGGGGCCACAGGTCAGGGTCAGAGTCGCTCCATCACTTCAGCTGAGCCCAAAAGCTCATTTTTGTGACTGGCCTGGTGAGAAGTATTGCCTTATCGTACAAACTGTTGCCACCATTTTGCATGGTGACTTTCAGGTCTGCTCCAGTCACACAAAAGCAGCTCTTCCTCAGGAAGGGTTTTTATGAATGGCACTAAATCAAAAATGGTCGCTGCTGCTGCCCCAGCGTGGGTGAGCTCCTGGTCTCTGCAGCTGTGTTGCTAAAGGTGAGCTCCCAGGCGTGAGCTCTCTCCGGAGGGGAGCCAGGCAGCTGCAGGAGCATTGCTGCTGCTGCCATTGTGGTTCTCAAGCTACAAAATGACATGAGCAAGGCTGCTCTTTAAAACCCTGCAACTAGTAGGACACCGCCAAGTGCTGGGGCTTTCAAGCTGTATGAATTTGACTGCGCTTTCACCTAAGTGTATTCCCACCGTTGTGCTTCATGGGGTAGCTTTTTTCAGCAGCCATATTTACGAGACCCTATGAAGAAGTAACACAGAGCTTGTTTGTGTTTCTGTGGCTGTTTGCAGCGTTCAGGTTGTGGCCGTTTTTAAACAGATTGTGTGCTACAGCGTCTCGCCTTCAGTAATTTTGCTCGCTGCTATTTTCCTCTCCGTTCTCACCCTACCCTTGTTTGTTCTGACCTCATTCCTCTCCTATTACCTCCTGCGATGTTGTGCCACAGCTTCTCCATGTGACATAGATTGGCTCTTTCAATCATTCTCTCTCCAGCAAGTCATTGTAAAATGAGCAGCTGTTGTGTTGCTGATAGCTATGGCTAGGGAAAGCCAAAATGTTGCAGGGGGTTCTTGGTGGGAAGGCCGTTAAAATAAAGGTGTTGCTTTCCCAGGGTTTACTGGAAGAGAAGCATCCTTTTCCCAATGCCTCCTTCCTCGCAACAAAATTGAAGACTAATTTAACATCAAAAGGGCAGACAAACAAACAGCCCCCTATTAAACCTCCCAAATGGCTGATTCTATTCCCACTGCCTGTTTAAGCTGTCTCCCCACCCCACCACAAGCCTGCTGCCCCGCATTGCTTTCTGCTGCACGCCGCAGATTTCACGGGAATGGACTGGCACAGGCGGCACTGACATTGGCACGTCCCTAGCTCAGTGGGCATTTCCTTCCTGTGCTCTCTGAAATACTGGACGGATATTTTGTGTGGTAAGTGGCACACATATACAGCCTTTGTTTCCATTCGCTTGACTGGAATAGACCAGGGAGATTAACCCCTAAGAGCAGAAAAAGCCACTTAGATGGGTTTTGTAGAGAAAAAGAGTTTTCTCTCAGAAGGGTAACACTTCTTGTTCACACACGCTTTTGTTACAGGACAGAAATCCTACTCTTTTATGATTTTGGGGGATTCAAAATGGCATTCTGATTTGTGTTAAGTAGATCATTATTCTGCTTTGCCAGAAATCCTGATCTCTTTATTTTGTAGCCATCTTCATAATTAGGGTACGTCTTCTTCCAAAGAACGAGATATGTGATGCCCTGCACTGCTTTGGGTCTTGAACTGTGCCTGATTCAACCCTAACCCATTAGTGGAAGCTGATGCAGCACATCATCAAAATGCACTGCTGTTGCCAGAAGATTTAGTGGCTGTTAATTTCACTTTTCTGTCTTTTTTTTTTTTCCTTTCCCTCCTGCTCCAACCATTCCAGTTTACTAACAAAGCAAAAATGTAAATAAGCTAAACTCCCCTTTCTCCCCCCATCCCCAATTTTGATCTCACTGGCCAAAGGCTTTTGTCAGCTCTTTCTCCCTTGCAGTGTAAGCAGCAAAAATTTTTAATATTAAGAGTTCTGTGGAAGATTGCTGATAGGCCAGGAATCCCTTAACCCATGATGGACAAGCAGGTTTTGTGTGAGTCGATAGATTCTATTATTTTTAAACTCTGCAGGGATTTTTATGTGTATGGAAGAGAAGGGTATGCTATATTAATATTGAGTAGCCAGTACTGTCTTTAGAAATAAGTAAAAGGAATTTTTTTCACACAGATCAGTATTTTCACTTGCACTTTTAATATGTTACATTCACTTCCTGAACAAACAAGCTTATTTTCACTCTGTTAAGCATCAACTGCATTGTTGGTTTTATTGTAATTGTATTGATGTCTTCTTTCACCAAAGAACTTGGATACATCTGGAGTTATAATTTTTAAGAAGAAATCCATGTGTGGATACTCTCACCCAGGAATGTTATTTCTTGTTATCTTAGTTTGTGCTAACCAGTGATCAGCACCCTTCTCTGCTTAAAAACAGTGCACATCTTTAATTCTGGTATATGAGTCAATGGATGTGTTCCATTCAGTGATCAGCTCTATTCTTTTCTGGAGGTTCTGGAGGTCTTCCCTTCCTGTATTGATCAGCTAGGTAGCTTGAAGTCCAGGACCTGTCAGGATTAGAGTTACAGCTAGCATTTCATTAAAAAAAGAGCAAGAGGGGAATAGGATACCCAGAGAGAGCTGTAACAGGACATCTTGCCTTGCTGTGCGTTTTAGTCAATGTGTGGATAGACTAGAGTGATTAAAATGCTGAGAGAATTAAAAAATAAGCAATAGTCCATGATAGTCCAAAAGGATATTTTAATGCAAAAATCTGAATAGGAGTGATGCTTTCTTTCATGCCTTGTAAAAGAAGGAGCCTAAGAGTTGAACTGCTTCCAGAAGTGGCTGCAGTAAGACAAGCCAGTCAGACAAGTCATGTTTTAAACAAGAATTTGGAAAAATAATTTGTTCAGGATTGAATTATTCTATATGCTCACTCCATTGACCACCACTACTGGTATGTTGTGTGGCATGGACTCTTCAAACATTATTTGAAGGAGAGAAAGCTACCATATGAAAGTGACCAGTGCTGTTCAACATCTTTGTTGGCGACATCAACAGTGGGATCAAGTGCGCCCTCAGCAAGTTTGATGACAACACCAAGCTGTGTGGTGCGGTTAACGTGCTGGAGGGAAGGGATGCCGTCCAGAGGGACCTGGACAGGCTGGAGACGTGGTCCAGTGTGAACTCATAAAGTTCAACAAGGCCAAGTGCAAGTTTCTGTACCTGGGTCAGGGAAATCCCAAGCACAAAAACAGGCTGGGCAGAAAATGGATTGAGAGCAGCCGTAAGGAGAAAGACTTGGGGGTGTTGGCTGATGAGAAGCCCAACATGAGCCAGCACCGCCGCCCAAAAAACCCAGCCATATCCTGGGCTGCATCAAAAGAAGTGTGACCAGCAGGTCAAGGGAGGTGATTCTGCCCCTCTACTCTGCTCTCATGAGACCCCGCTTGCAGTATGGCATTCAGCTCCGGGACCCCCACACAAGAAGGACATGGATCTGCTCAAGTCAGTCCAGAGGAGGGCCACAAAGATGATCAAAGGGCTGGAGCACCTCCGCTATGAAGACAGATTGAGAGGGTTGAGGTTG